CTTTTATTTGCCGATTTTCAAAAAGCATTTGATTCAATCGAATGGAATTTTTTATTCAAAACATTAGAAAAATTCAATTTCGGTGAAAATTTTATTAAATGGATAAAAATTTTATATACAAATCCGCAATTCACTATAAAAAACAATGGATGGATTTCGAGAAAGTGCAATATGAAAAGAGGAATACGTCAAGGTTGTCCGGTTTCAGCATTATTATTTTTATTTGCAATGGAAGTTCTAAATGAAAACATAAACAGTTCAGATTTAGTTAGAGGTTTTAAACATGAAAACATGGAAAATGAAATAAAATGCATACAGCATGCAGATGACAGTACCTTTCCCTTAAAGGATATAAACTCTTTGAAAAATGCCATAAAAATAATTGAAAAATTTGGAAATGTATCAGGAACCAAACTTAACTTATCAAAAACAGAATGTATCTTACTGGGGAAGCTAAAAAACATGTTTAAAGATAATACATACGTAGGAAATGTTAAGATCAATATAAATACTGTAAAATGTCTTGGAATTTATATTGGACACAACAAAATAGAGTGTAATGAAAAAAACTGGCTATGTAAACTGAAAGAGTTTGAAAAAATTCTGGACTCTTGGAGAAAAAGGAAATTAACTATTTTCGGAAAGAGTCAGATTATTAACTCCTTAATTATTTCTAAACTTTTATATGTGGCAACTATACTTGAAAACCCAGATCAGGAAATTATAAAGAAGGTAAATAAAATAATTTTCTCTTTTATATGGGGAAAAAAAGAAAGAATCAAGCGTAAAACTCTTATCAGGAAAATATTAGAAGGGGGGATAGGTATTACCGACTTTGAAACCAAAATTAAAGCCTTAAAGCATCATGGGTTACCAAACTTGTTCAATTAAACAACGATTCAAACAAACTGTTAAGTGCTTGTTTAAGAAGATGTAATATAGATATCCCTTATTTGTTGAATACAAATATAACTAAAATACAAGACTTTAAAATTAAATGTCTCCCACTGTTTTATAAAGAAGTAATATGTGCATTCAATGAATGTAAACAAAATAATCAGGAAAACTTTCCAGTTACAGAATATATGGTTTAACAAAAAGATAACTTATAAAGAAAAACCACTTTATCTTTCAAACTGGATCAAAAGTGGTTTTAAATATGTTAATGATCTATTTAATGACCAAGGGTTTAAAACAATAAATGAAATTAAAGAAAAATTAATATGTTCCCAAAACTACCTTTGTGAATATATGATTGTGAAAAGTGCATTTAAAAAACATACTCCAGAAATAAACCTACAATGTAAAGTAAATAAATGTAATCCACAGCTTCGCTTCAACTTTCAAGGACATTTTGAAAATGTTGAGGGCAAAAAATCTAAATTCTTCTATAATATTCTGTTAAAGAAAGCATCAAAAAATCCTATAATGGAAAGATTTTGGGATGAGAAATTTAAGATTGATGATTACCACTTATGGGAGAACATTTACATGGAAAAGGTCAAAAGAATATTTGATAAGAATGTGTCTGAGTTCAATTTTAAATTAATGCATAACTTACTGACCTGTAATAAGTATGTTAGTAAATGGAAAAAAGACTTAAATGTAAACTGTTCGAATTGTAATGTAGAAGAGGACATTAAGCACCTTATTTTTGATTGCTGTATAGTAAAACCAATTTGGAGTAAAATAACATTGCTTTTAAACATAGATGTGTCATGGAAAGTTATAGTCATTGGTTTTCCAACGTATTGTACTAAAAATACCTTCATTTTAAACAATACATTGTCCTTCATTGCCTTCAAAATATATAAATATAAAATGAAATGTAGACTTTTAAATGAGGATGTGACTAGTGAGGGTTTATTGTGTTTCTTAAAAAATGCACTTACTCAGTTCTATTTCATAACAAAATTATCAAAAACTATTGTATGTAATTTTGATATCATCAGAGAACTGTCAGAAAAATTATGAAATTATATATTATATATTGATCCAAAGGTGACCTGGCCTTTGGGGACTACTTTCGTAGGGGGAAAAGTGGACTCTTGTGCGTTGGTGTCCCCCTACGACTATTTCTTATGTTTTCTTTCCTTAATGCTATATGTACATGAAAATGTATAAAGTACAAGTATGTGGAATATTGTATTTTTTATATATACAAATAACTGTATTTTTTTTTTCAATAGTTCTAGAATGTACTTACTCAGTACAAGTATGTGGAATATTGTATTATTTATATATACAAATAACTGTATTTTTTCAATGGCTATATTCTATTGAAGTGTGGACATCTGAATATATGTATATCAAAAATCAAATTTAATTAATTATTTCTATCTGATCCAGGGAGCCCCTGGCACCCCAGGTGAAGATATATTAGGAGGGCCTCCGCGGAGGTATTACCTCCATTTTTTTTTGTTAATTATTATTGAAATAAAATTGAAAAAAAAAAAAAAAAAAAAAAAAAAGAACTACTCATAAAAGATTTTAAAAAATCTACTGCAATCGAAAGTGGAAAAGATTTGGCAATGGGTGTATAAGGAAAGTTAAGATCCAAGAATTCAATTTGAAAGTACCAAAGGTTTCATTGCTATGCAAAATAGAACACATCAACAACTTGACAAATACTCTAGCAAAAACAACTCATTCAACTTAAGCATGGATTCCCTTTGCCCTTTGTTTCCAAACAAAGATTTAGAAATTAAAAACAGGGTACTATGTAGGTCTCATTCTTGAAAATTTGGGAAAAAATTTAAAATTGTTTTCACAAGATCTAACCTGAATCCAAGTTTTACCTTTAGACTTTTCACTGAGTAGAAGAAGAGCAGCAGGATATGTAGCCACTTAGCAGCCAGGATCGACCAAGGGAAAGGTTTGATTTCAGTCTTAAAAGATGGACAGTGGTCGGCTGTACAGCAAATAGGAGAGCATTACAAGGATCAAGATACAGAGTGTCCACTATGACAACAGGCCGACAATAACCACCTTGGTAAAAAATAACTGCATTTGTTGCAATTTTGAATTTTTCGTTTTCTGTTCTCACTTGATCCCAATTGTGTAGATGTTTAATCTCTTTCTATTTTTATACCCCCACAAACGAAGTTTGGGGGGGTATATAGGAATCACCTTGTCCGTCTGTCTGTCTGTCCGTCTGTCCGTCTGTCTGTGCAATCGTGTCCGGTCCATATCTTTCTTACAGAGGGACATTAGAATCTACTACTCCACACAAAGATTGCCCATGACCTAAGGGTGTGTCATGACCTTGACCCAAGGTCATTTGGGGAAGTTCAAGGTCACTTGAAGAAAAATTTCATAATTCGTGTCCAGTCCATATCTTTCTTATGAATAAACTTTGTAGGTTCTCATTTCACACACAGATTGCCCATGACGTAAGGGTGTGTCCTGACCTTGACCCAAAGTCATTTGGGGAAGTTCAAGGTCACTAGAAGAAAAAAATTCATAATTCATGTCCGGTCCATATCTTTCTTATGGATTAACTTGGTTGGTTCTCAGTTCACACAAAGATTGCCCATGACCTAAGGGTGTGTCATGACCTTGACCCAAGGTCATTTGGGGAGGTTCAAGGTCACTGGAAGAAAAATTTCATAATTCGTGTCTGGTCCATATCTTTCTTATGGATAAATTTGGTAGGTTCTCGTTTCAAACAAAGATAGCCCATGACCCAAGGGTGTGTCATGACCTTGACCCAAGGTCATTTGGGGAACTTCAAGGTCATTGGAAGAAAAATTTCATAATTCGTGTTTGGTCCATATCTTTCTTATGGATAAACTTGGTAGGTTCTCATTTCACACAAAGATTGCCCATGACCTAAGGGTGTGTCATGACCCTCACCCACGGTCATTTGGGGAAGTTCAAGGTCATTGGAATTTGGAAGTAAAATTTATAATTTGTGTCCGGTCCATATCTTTCTTATGGATAAACTTGGTAGGTTCTCATTTCACACAAAGACTGCCCATGACCCAAGGGTGTGTCATAATCTTGACCCAAGATCATTTTGGGAAGTTCAAGGTCACTGGAAGAAAAAATTCATAATTCTTGTCCTGTCGATATCTTTCTTATGGATAAACTTGGTAGGTTGTCATTTCACACAAAGACCCAAGGGTGTGTCGTGACCCTGACCCAAGGTCATTTGGGGAACTTCAAGGTCACTGGATGAAAAAGATAAAGTTATACCTCCTTGCTCTTCTATCTCTTTCTGGATTTGTTGTACATTTGATCAACTGAAGGAAACATTGCTCTTTGACATCTGTTTTTTTGTTTATCAGAGGGTATATAGCTATTATGGATCAACATTGAATAGGAATTTGCCAAATCAACAACCGCCAACTTTGGATGATGAGGTTAGATAAAGGCTCTTTTTACATGATATTTTAAATATTTTTAAATTGTGTTCCCATGAGCAAGACTGAGTCCCATTTTCCCTTAATTTTTTAACTGACAGGCTGTGTGATAGCAGTTCCTACCAGACGCAGCAAGCCATGAAGCGAGTTAGCAACTAGCGACCACGGGAATAGGTTTGGTTTTCGTTAATTAAAAACCAGATATGAGGTGAGCTGAATTGTTTAAGCTTGTATTTCTAAGCCCTATCTTTTTCTAACACAACTAATTCACGCATTTCCCATTTGTTATTGTCTTTCTAAGTTAATGTGTATTTTAGATATATTATTGTCTGACTCATTTTTAAAATTATATTTAGACTTGAATAATCCTGTATCAGTTTCTGTCTTTGAGAAGGGCGGAGAGGAGTAAATGACAGACAGACAGGCATTGGCAGGCTGTACAACGAGGAGGAGGACATGGCAAGGATCCGGATACACAGTGTCCACTATAACATCAGGCCAACAAAAGACAACTTAGTAAGAAGCTATTGCTTTGTTACTTTATAAGAGACAAACATCTCCCTGTGAATTTTTTGATAAAGTCTTTACCTTTTCCCTTTTATTGACTCTCATCTAATTTTATTTAATGAAATATATATTTTCTTCCATCCTCCTGTTTAAGAGAAACCTGGTCATCAAAAGGAGAGTCAAGTACACTGCGGCAATTTCTACAGGTAAGGTTGAGAAGATAAAGTTATGCATCCTTAGTCTACTGTCTCTTTCTGGATTTATGTTACATTTGCTTAACTGTAGGAAAGTTAACTCTTTGACATCTGATTTTTTCTTTATCAAAAGAGGATTTAGCTTTCATGGAGCAACATTGAAGAGGAGGTTGCCGAATAAACAACATCCAACTTTGGATGATCACACGGTAAGATCTGGCTCTTTTCATAACATTTTGATTGTTTATAAATTGTCTTCAATAAGGTAGACTGATTCCATTTTAACATCTACATTTTTTAATTGACAGGCTGTATGACAGCAAGTCCAATTGGAAGCAGCAAGACACAAAGCCACTTAGCAACCAAGGACGACGGAAAAGGTTTGGTTTTTGAATTAAAAACCAGATATGAGGTGAATTGAATTGTTTCTTTAGCTTTTTTATTCTATACCCTATACTCTTCCTTCATTTCTAACATTGCTAACGTGCACATTCTCTTTGTAATTGTCTCTATTTGTTAACATTTATTTCATATATTTTTTATTTTGTCATTTTTGTACTTTCTTTGAGGACGTCACTAACTTTGTTTCAGTTTCTTTCTTTGATAAGGGTAGAGAAGCAATAAGGACAGACATGGTCCAACCAAACGAATAGAGAAGACCATTGCAAGAATCTATTGATTTGTTCTATGACACCAACCAACAATAGCCAATATGGTAAGACATAAACTGCATTTCTTGTTATATCTAGGTTTTTTTTTTTGTTTGTTTTTCTCATTTGATCCAAATGGTGCACTTGTTTGATTGTTTTATTTTTCTATCCACTGACAAAAAGCTTGGCAAAAATCAGTCCCACTGTGAAAGTCAACTGGATAACTCGTCAATGAGAGCACCAAGAGTTAGGATGGACAGCAGTCCTAACATGGAATTGAGGGTAAGAGACAAACTTCTCCTTGTACAATAGTCAACTTGGTAAGAAACAACCTGCATTTGTTGAAGTTTATGGGTTTTTTTTGTCTTCTATTCTAACTTGATCCAAAGGTGCATGCACTTGTTTGATCTCTTTACAGGAAGCTTGGCAAGAATCAGACCATATGTGGAGGTCAACTTGATTAATCTTTAACCAGAACGCAAAAAATACTAGTAAGGATGGACAACAGTCCTAACATGAAAATTAGGGTAAGACATAAACCTCTCTCTCTTGTGAGATTTTTTAAAATCTTTTTTATTTGCCAACGTCTTTACAAATTACAGTCAAAACTGCCATAGCGACCCACTGTATTAAGCGACTCACCGTCACATGTGACCGTAAAAATTCCCCCCAATGCTTTTCCCTATATATTCTACCTGTATTAAACGACCACCTGTCTTACGCGACCAACGACCCTGATTTTTCTGACCATTTTATGAAATTTCAAGCAATTTTACCTGAATTTAACGACTACATAATTTCTGATTCCTACTTTCAATTTCGGTCGAGCATGCTACGTTTTTGGTTCACAACTACAGACACGCTTTTATTTAAATTAATAATTATATAATGCAATAATAATATAATAAAACAATATTAATAAATAAATATTTTTACTTACGCTTTGATATTTATTGAATAAACATTAAAATCTAAAACACAAACATCACGTTTTTCTGTCCAGTGATCGAGCGCCATTTTGAAAATAGACGTCGAGGTCGATCCCGATGTCATTTCATTCTAAGCGGCCTATAAGGGCCAAATGGATATTTACCTATAAAAACTGCCTTTTGAACTTTAATTAACAAGTAACTAAACCCTAGATGTTTATATAAGTGCATTGTGTCACCAATGGGTATGTAAACACACGCTAGCTAGCACCCACACCAGGTGATAATTGAGGTGACTGAAATACTAGTCACAAACAAGCAATTAGGCACAGTAGCTCAGTAATGAAAATAAAATCAATTAGGTTAAAAAAAATATTTTAGTCTTAAAAATAATTTGATACCAAATTCAGAACAAAAATCATGATACAGTTTTAATTCTTAGGAATATGCAAAACATACGAAGTTATATATACATGTAGGGTAGCTAAGATCATGTTATAAAAAATTATTATTAGAAAAAAAGCAGCTCTTTTATACCGTATGAAAACAAAAATATTATTATTTTCAGATGTTCACAATATTTCCCAATAATCACATGATTCATGTGAGGATCAAGCAATTTTTTTATTTTAAAACAGGACAATAATTGTAAAAGTATTTTAGATTTGAGCAGTGCCTATTAAAAAGTGAAAATTAACAGAAAGTGTTATGAAATATATTCAACATACACATGTGATATTTTTGGCATTGTATATTTGAACACTGCGGAAAATAAGCAACCTGTATTAAGAGACCACCTGTCATATGTGACCTTTTTTCCTTTCTCCGTTGGAAGGTCTCTTAATACAGGTTTGACTGTATACCTTTTCTTGACTTTCAATTGATTTTTTCATATGGATAATAAGAATTGCCTCCATCCTTCTGTTTGAGAGCAACCTAATCAGCAGAAGAAGAGCCCAGAACACTGCGGTCCATCCCACAGGTTAGGTTGAGAAAATAAAGTTTTACCCTCATGCTCTGGTTTCTTGATGCATGTTACATTTTTTCAACTGTGGGGGTACTTAGCTCTTTGACATCTATTTGTTTTTAGCTCACCTGAGTGTGGACATTATTTAAAATCTTCTTCTCAAGAACGACGGGGCCAGAAAAGCTGAGACTTATGTGGAAGCATTTTGGGGTAGTGTACCTTCTAAATTGATAAAATCATCAGGGCTCCCACTGGACCGAAAATATTTTTCGCCACTTTTCGCGACACAAGCTTTAAGAAAAGGCATACTTACATCTGATTTCTCGACAATGCAATGTACTTTTTGTTATTCAATTTTTTTATTATGTTTATCTGACACAGATATTGTTTTAAAATTGTAATGTTTAAAGCTTATGGTAGTATCCATTTAAAAAAAAGAAAAAAAGTAATAATGTTAAAATTACACAATTAATTTGATATTGTATTGATATCGGCCAACTCTTGACAGAAAATGTCCTCTTGTTTATATTTTTTTCGCCTGGGAAGGAGGGGGGGGGGGGGCTACAGACCTAGTAAAAATATGACATTTTTTAAAAATAGAAATTTTCATCATTTCATTAATTAATTGTGAAAAGAAGTAAATTAAAAACTAATGAAAATTAGGTTTGAAACTTAACAACTTGGAGACTCCTGGATTTAATATGCAAGCTCTTGTTATTGTAAATAACTCAGTGTAATTTACTAACTAAAGATAATTCTGTTTCCAAACCAATTTCTTTTTCACTCTTTGTCAGTTAATGGTATATTAATGTACACTTTTTTAAATTTACATTAGGCAAAATTTGAAGCCATTCTTTACAATTTTCGTCATGTTTCCCTACTTTCGGTTTAAAAAAAACGATCTACATAGATCCAGATTTTGTTGATAAAAATGTTTTATTTACAAACTTCATCTCCGAATAACACTTTATCCCCCCTTGTTTAATCCAAATTATATTATTTCAAGCAACTTTGTAACCCTTTATTGCTCCAGGCTAGTTACCTAGTCAGCATTGTTCGTTCAAGCGAGACGTGATTTCCTGTATGTAGGTTTCAGTTTTCACACCTCTGCTGCATTAAGTAAACAAAGGGACTTATCTGTGTACATTGAATAAACAAAGGAGCTAACCAGGACTACACAAATTTTGTACATGGTACATCTAAAAAATTAATTTTCGCCACTTATGAATTTCTTTTCGCCACTTTTGAAAAAAATTCGCAATTGGCGACAATGGCGAATCACAGCTCGAGCCCTGATCATGGTCCCCGGGGGTAGGGTGGGGCCACAATAGGGAATCCAAATTTTACTTTGCAATATTTACTAAATAGGAACATTTTTTAAAAATCTTCTTCTCAAGAACCACCGGGCCAGAAAAGCTGAAACTTATGTGGAAGCATCCTTGGATGGTGTAGATATCAAATTGTTAAAATCATGACCCCTGGGTGTAGGACGGGGTCACAATAGATATTACATCGGAAAAAGAACAGCATGGCTGAAGTTATTTAGGTGAGCAATGTGGCCCATGGGCCTCTTGCTTTTAGTAGAAGGGGATTTAGCTATCATGGAGGAAAAATTAAAACAAGTTTGCCAAATTAGCAATTGTCAATTGGATGCCGCAGTAAAAAGCAAGCTCTTTTTCTTGATATTTTGATTTATTTTACATTGTGTTCCCATGAGGTAGGCTGAGTGCCATTTGACCCCTAATCTTTCAATTGACAGGGTGTATGACATCAGACCCCACCAGAATCAGTAACACGTGTAGCCAATTAGCAACCAAGGACCATGGAAAAGGTTTGGTTTTTGTATTAAAACCAGAGATAAGGTTAGCTGAATTGTTTCTTTAGTTTGTATTTCTAAGCTACATTGTATTCATCTTTCTAACATTACTAACACATGCACACTTTCCCTTTGTAATTGTCTTTCTTTGTTATTACATGTATGAATTTTAAATGTATTTTTATTCTATGTTTTTAAATTCTTTTAGACTTGAATAATCTTGTATCAGTTTCTATCTTTGCGAAGGATAGAGTAAAGCATTAGACAGACAGACAGTTGCAGGCCACACACCAAATATGAAAGCATTGCAAGGATCCGGATACAGAGTATCCACTATGACAACAGGTAAACAATAGCCAACTTGGTAATAAACAACTGCATTGGTGCAAATTTGGATTTTTTTTCTGTTTTCACTTGATCCAAATCTTTCACTTCATTATCTCTTTCTGTGCTTTCTTCAACAGATGAAAAGCTTAGAAAAATCAGTCCTGCTATGGAGATCAACTTGATGACTCTTGAATGAAAGCGTGAAGAGTAAGGATGGACAACAGTCCTAACATGGAATTGGGGGTAAGAGACAAACTTCTAATTCTGAAATTTTCTCCTTTAGTTATTTTGACAATTTTCCTCCTTTTATTTACTTTCATTTGATTTTTTTTATGAATGAAAAATAGACTCTCCTGTTTGAGAGAAATCTGGTCAGCAAAAAGAGAGTCCAGTACACTGAGGCTAATTTCACAGGTAAGGTTGAGAAGATGAAGATAATGGTGTAGCTTCCTGCTCTGCTATCTGTTCCTGAATTTATGTTACATTTGTTCAACTGCTGTAAACCTAGCTCTTTGACATCTCTTTTTTCTTTATCAGAGGGGGATTCAGCTATCATGGAGTAACAATGAATAGAAGTTTGCCTAATCAACAACTGCTAGCTTTGGATGATGCGGTAAGATGAAGGCTCTTTAATTCCAATAGTTTGATTATTTACAAAATAAGTTCATTTGAGCTAGACTGAGTTACATTTGACTTCTAAACTTTTTAATTGACAGGCTGTTGACAGCAGGTCCCCTGGAAGCAGCAAGACCTGTAGCCAATTAGCAACCAAGGATCAAGGAATAGGTTTGGTTTTTTAAAAACCAGATATAAGGTTCCTTTAGCTTGCATTTCTAAGCCCACATCTTTCTAACATTGCGGTTTTTAAAAGAAATATTTTTGGACTTGAATAATCTTTTATCAGTTTCTTTCTTTGAGACTTGCAGAGTGGAGTTTAGGACACACAGACAGGCAAACAATGGCGTACTGCAAAACAAATAGCAGAGCATTGCAAGGAGGCAGAGTACCCGCTATGACAACAAGCCAACAATAGACAACTTGGTAAGAAACAACTACACTTTGCATTTTAGGATTTTTTGTTGTCTGTTCTACTTGATTCAAATGGTGCACTTATTTGATCTCTATTTTTTCTATAAACAGACGAAATGCTTGGCAAGAATCAATCCCGCTATGGAGCTCGACTGGATGACTCTTCAAGGAGAGCACCAAGGATGGACAACAATCCTAACATGGAATTGACGGTAAGAGACAAACTTCTCGTTGTGAAATTTTTCTCATTTAGTTATTTGACAATGCGTTGACATTTTTCTTCTTTTATTGACTTTCATTTAATTTTTTCAAAAAGACTTGCTTCCACCTACCTGTTTGAGAACAATCTTATCAAAAGAAGAGTCCAATACACTTCGGTCAATTCTACAGGTAAGTTTGAGAAGATAGAATAATACCTCAATCCTTTGTTCACTCTTTGTTGATTTAAGTTAGATCTGATAAATGCTAAACAAAAGGATTATTAGAACTATTTATATAACAGAAGGAAATTTGTCTAGCTCGGAGGATTAGTGAATAACACTCCGCCGAATCAACAACTGCAAACTTTAGATGATGAAGTAAGATGTGGAATTCTTATGACATTTTGTATATATAAAAAAAATTGTGTTCACTTAAGGCATACTGACTCCATACATTTTCATTTGACAGGCTGAATGATCGCAAGTTCATTCAGAAGCAGCTGGACACGTAGCCTTTAAGCAACAGGGGATCGCTAGTAGGTTTGGTTTTTTTCTTAAAAACCAGACATGAGGTGAGTTGATTGTTTTTTAGTCTGTATTTCTGTTTCTATTTTTTCTTTTGACACATTTCTCAATTATATTTTTTGACTTAACTAATCTTGTATTAGCTTCTATCTTTGAAAGGGACAGAGTGGAGGATAGAAGAGTCGGATGGTGGTCGGCCAAACAAAGAAGAGGAGGAAATATTGTAAGGATCCAGAGTATTTACCATGAAAACAGGCAAAAATAGCAAAACTGGTAAGAAACGCAATGTATTTGTTGCATTTTTTATTTTTGTTCTCTGTTCTCGCTTGATTTTTGTTCTCTGTTCTCACTTGATCTGAGTGGTGCACCTATTTGATCTCTATGTTTAATTTAACAGATGTACAGTTTGACAGGAATCAGCCAATCTATGGAGTAAGACTTGTTCGCTCTGTTCCAGAGCACAGAGTGTAAGAATGGACAGCAGTCGTTAACATTGGAATTGAGGGTAAGGCGTAAACTTATCCCATGTGAGATTTTATTTCCCTTTGCTATTTTATGAAGTTTTTGAACTTTTTTTGTTCTTGACTCCATTCTTTTTTTTTTCATTTAGAGATAGAAGAATTGCCCTGTTACCTATCTGAGTGCAGTCGGTTCCCCAAAGAAGAGTCCAGTGAACTGAGTCAAATCCTACACAAATGGGTAATAAGATTATAATGTTACATCCTTACT